GCACACCTCCCCGGGATGTTGTAAGGCTTTATTTCAGGACTGCTTCCATCATCTGCCCTGGAGCCATCTCCAGTGCTGGGGTAGTGACACGTTTCACTGACGTGGGATTGCACAATGAGACTGGCAGTGACACGGGCCAAACAATGGGGGCCCGATTCTCTACTACCCTGCATGGCATGATGTCACTTACCTCTGTGTCACATGAATGCAAATGTTACCTGGCAGCACTTCCCTCTCTTACCAGTGGTAGCATTTTACACCCGATTTGCACAGGTGTAAATGCCTACAGAAGGTGTATGGCAGTGCTGAAGCCAACACCTTCATATGTCCAGCTGAGCAGGTTGGTCAAATTAGGTCAGGAGGGCCACAGAGCTGGCAGAAGCTGTGTGCAGCAGACTTCGAAGTGGACAGAGCTGTCACCAGCGATTAGTCAATAGCTCAGGGTGGTCTCTCTTTAGGCTAATTGAGTTTGTTTGTAATTAGGGGTTTTTAAAATCCTTTGAAGATATAAAGTGTTGGGTGTTTTTACCATAACCTCGCTTTATGGTTAATGGGTTGAGTGAGTTTCTCTATTTGCAATTTGCCCCATTAATCCTATTTAACGACATCTTTCACTATTCGGTTGGCCCTTGGTCACTAAAATATACTCATTTGATCATTCTAACCCAGTGGCTTTCAACCTGTGGTCCGCAGATCCCTGCTGGTCCACAGACTATGTCAAACATTTCCAAAGGGGTCTGCACCTCCATTTGATTTTTTTTTAGGGGTCCACATATGAAAAAAAGGTTGAAAACCACTGTTCTAAGCCATGATGATCCTAGAAAAAAGTGGGTGAATAGATCTCAGGCCTGGCCGGGTAAGCGTTCAGGACAACTGGGCAAGGTTGCATTACTTGGAGGGTTTCCCCTATTTTTTGTCATCAACAAAAATGACTAATCAAAAATCCTCCAGCCACTGTGCTTATTCCCCCATTCCAAACTGCCCTTCCCCCATGCCTTCCCGGCTCCCAACAGTACCCCACCCAGACACTGAAACTGCCAACCTCACCCCTGCCAACGTCCACCTGAGCCAAAAATAAGCTGCACGCTGAAAATGGAGGGACACTGTACAACGTTCATATTTCAACCTGACACAGAAGGACCCAGTAGTGATTTCATTTTCTTATTGAATTCAATAAAACCTGAAAGTTTAAATGTATCTGCGCCTGGCACAAAATTCCATGACTGCTGCAGAAACTAGGTGCTGGTGAGTTCACAGGGTCTGGTGTTCCATTACCAAACCTAGGAGCCACCTACACATTAACAACAAGGCCTTCACTTGTGACATTGTCAAGTTGCCTGTAATCAGGTTAGTCCAGGATGCTCCTCGGCTCTTTAAAATACCCATGTTAAGTTCTACTTGTTTACTCAGTTGACTAGCTGGGGTTACCTCTGCTTCAAAAAGAGGCAGCAGAAAGGAAATCACCGTTCTAAGGAAGGCTGGGGTGGAGGTTTTCTCTCAGGACGACACCTGCTGCTGACTTGCTCAGCTGCTTCTGGGTTACTGAATGGAGAAGTGCTGCTGCTTGTGGTTCCTGAAGACTACATCAGAAGTGAAGCGGGAAGAGCTTGCCACTGACTTACCACCTGGCCCTGGACACTTCACTAAACCTGCCTGCTTCAGTAGCCCCACTTGTAAAATGGGGCTTATACTGCCCTACCCATAGAGCACAAGGGTGCTGGCAAATCAGTCTGCACAGAGATATACAGTAGAACCACAGAGTTACAAACTGACTGGTCAACCACCCACCTCACTTGGAACCGGAAGTATGCAATCAGGCAGTGGCAGAGGAAAAAAACAACCCGCAAATACAGTACAGTGCTGTGTTAAACGTAAACTACTAAAAAAATAAAAGGAAAGTTTAAAAAAAGATTTGCCAAGGTAAGGAAATGGTTTCTGTGCTTGTTTCATTTAAATTAAGATGGTTAAAAGCAGCATTTTTCTCCTGCACAGTAAAGTTTCAAAGCTGTATTACGTCTATGTTCAGTTGTAAACTTTTGAAAGAATCACCATAATGTTTTGTTCAGCGTTACAAACATTTCAGAGTTCGGAACAACCTCCATTCCCAAGGTGCTTGTAACTCTGAGGTTCTACTGTATAGTCAGCATAGAATTAGTGATTCAGAAGCAGAAAGTGAAATTAACTAAAAACTGACTAGTTTAGTTTCCCTCTCCAAGATGAAAGAAATCTAAGATGTGAACATACTGGGTAAAATTTTCAAAAGTCACCTAGCAACCCAAGTCCCACTGACATTTAATAGGAGTTGGGATCTCAGGAAGTCATTTAGTGGGTAAAACTCTTTTAAAAGTGCCCATCAATTAGCAAGGAGTAAGATTGTAATTTGTAACATCTGACTTGATCGTTAGATGTAGCAAGCTCTGATCCCTCCCCCTGCCCCAAACTGCCGTGGGAGCAACGCTGTGATAATGAAAGGTGGAAGTCCGCGAGGTGAGGAATGTCTTTGAAAAGTGATTTTATTTTTTCCTTTTATAATTTCCCCCCTTTAATCTGGTTCCATGTGTCCACAGACTTCTGCAACTGTAGCATTTTCCACCGGGGTACAAGGGAAGAGTTATGTTTTCCCCTTAATAATGAGCATGCAAGGTAGCCATACTTTATCATCCTTGTCCAGGCTGCAGGAAGCAAAACCTGTTGCGCTCTGATAACATTGTAAGAAATCCTTTTAGCATTTGAACCAATTGTTTCAGCACCCCAGGCCCTTACCTCAAACAAACCAGGGTTTGGTTCCTCTTATGCAGCCCTAGACCAGCATTCTCAAAACTCCCTCTTATTTTCTTTTAAAACCTGAGTCTCCAAAGAACAAACAAACTTTTCCTCCTGCTTCCACTCCCGGCAATGTTGCAAACCTAAACAAATTCTTAAGAACAGCATGATTCATGCAGAGCTAAAGGCGCCTCAAACCAAATATACTTCAGAATTTATTTTCCTTGATGGACCAGGGATAAGCGACCGGTTAGAGTTACAGCATTCATCCTTTTTATTAAAGTCAGTGAATGCTGGGGTGGGCGAGTTCACTCCCTGCAAGATCAGCAGGAAGATTGGGCTGAAAATGGCAGACAAGAATGCACAGGTGATGGAACCTAGGGGTGCTGCTGCACCCTCTGGCTTTAAGTGGTTTCCATCAGGCACAGGGTTTACAGTTTGGTTCAACGGTTCTCAGCACCCCCACAAGAACTCAACCGTTAAGAAGAATGAGGAAGATGGGGGTGGGAACTGCATCTCCATGATATAACCAGCATATAACAGGCACAAAGTTGAAATAGTTCCATGTGCCACAGACTCCTGCACATGTGTAAAGGACGAATCACCACGCTATGCTAGAGCAATTAGAGATGCATAAGCAGGAGGAAAGAGGGAAACAGCAGAGCTGGGATTAGCCACTTCAGAAGGGTTCACTCACTTACCCAGAGTTACCCACCTAGAATCATAGAATATCAGGGTTGGAAGGGACCTCAGGAGGTTATCTAGTCCAACCCCCTGCTCAAACAGGTCCGACACCAACTAAATCATCCCAGCCAGGGCTTTGTCAAGCCTGACCTTAAAAATGTCTAAGGAAGGAGATTCCACCACCTCCCTAGGTAACCCATTCCAGTGCTTCATCATCCTCCTAGTGAAAAAGTTTTTCCTAATATCCAACCTAAACCTCCCCCACCGCAACTTGAAACCATTACTCCTTGTCCTATCATCTGGTACCACTGAGAACAGTCTAAATCCATCCACTTTGGAACCCCCTTTCACGCAGCTATCAAATCCCCCCTCATTCTTCTCTTCTGCAGACTAAACAATCCCAGTTCCCTCAGCCTCTCCTCATAAGTCATGTGTTCCAGCCCCCTAATCATTTTTGTTGCCCTCCACTGGACTCTTTCCAATTTGTCCACATCCTTCTTGTAGTGTGGGGCCCAAAACTGGACACAGTACTCCAGATGAGGCCTCACCAATGTCGAATAGAGGGGAATGATCACGTCCCTCGATCTGCTGGCAATGCCCCTACTTATACAGCCCAAAATGCCGTTAGCCTTCTTGGCAACAAGGGCACACTGTTGATTCATATCCAGCTTCTCGTCCACTGTAACTCCTACGTCCTTTTCTGCAGAACTGCTGCCTAGACAGTCGGTCCCTAGTCTGTAGCAGTGCATGGGATTTTTCCATCCTAAGTGCAGAACTCTGCACTTGTCCTCGTTGAACTTCATCAGATTTCTTTTGGCCCAATCCTCTAATTTGTCTAGGTCCCTCTGTATCCTATCCCTACCCTCCAGCGTATCTACCACTCCTCCCAGTTTAGTGTCATCTGCAAACTTGCTGAGGGTGCAGTCCTCACCTACCACCCTCCTGGGCAGCAGAGTGCCACCCTGAATCAAAGATCCTCCTTTATAAACAATAAAAGGGCACCCTCCTTTATAAACCATGCACCTGTCACTAGCTATCTTGATCCCCAAGATCCCAACTGGGTGCAACAGGAAGTACAAAGGGAATGTTAGCTACCTAGGAATAATATTTTATAGCACTTTCCCACCAAGGATTTCAAATATGCTTTGCAAACATCCCTGAGAGAACTGTATCATCCCAAAGGCCCAGAAGGGGGAACTGCCTTGCCTGGGCTCACATAGTGGATCCGTGGCAGAAGCAGGAATAGAACCCAGGGCTCCTGACTCCCAGTTCTGTGCTTTAGCCACAAGACCAGCCTTCCTCCTACAGGAGACACCAACAGACATTTATAGCCCCTTGGAAGTATTTTTTCCTATCACAGCATGGCCAGAAAATAGGTTTGGAAAGTGCATCTAATTCGGGATCACAGTTCCATTTACACCGTAGAGCAACGTCGTAACCGCACAGCTTTTTAGATTGTATCTTGGGGCAGCCTGGTTAAAGAGCTACAGTGGCCTCTGAAGTGTGACTGTAGGGAGCGGTTCAGCATAGTCCATAAACCTGGTTTTACTGACCTGGGTTTCTGAGAAGGTTCTTTGGTGTCCTTGGATCCAAACCAGCTGCTGCTCTTACTCTTCTCGTCTCCAGCAGCTGTTACTTGTGGAGATACGGTCAGGGATGATCCCAGGTTCTCTCCCAAGCTCTTGTTCACTGCATCACTTTTGGTCCCCCCGTGGTGGAAGAGGCTGACCTTGGACTTCTTGTCTTCCTTTCTGGTTTCCTCAAGGGGTTTGTCTTTCGTCACCTCCATGGAGAAGACCATCGGCGTTGCGATCTGCACGGGTTTGGTCTCTAAGCGGCTGCCTTCTTCCAACTTGGCTCTGCCGAGGTGGTTGCTGAGGGTTACAGCTTTGGTTGAGACCTTGTTCTCCTCTTGTACTGCTAAGCTGGGAGGAGAGGGAAGGAATCTGGGCTCTTCTTTCTGCTGCCCCTTCTCAAAGCTGCTGGCTCCCCATGGCAGGTCTTCTGAGTCAGGAGGAGGGAAGCCAGCATGGAAACCCTCCTCGGACTTTCTGGCGATATTCTGTAGAGGCAGGGACAGCGGCGAGGAGCTCGGTAGGCCAGACATCGGGCTCTTTGGTGCAGGTTCATCACTGTAAACATGGCTTCCATTGACACAGAGAGAGGATCTGGAGACAGGGTCATTCTTTGGCTTCAGGCTTTGGATTGCTTTCGGCTCCGCTACCACATTAACCTGGGAGATCTCATCACTGAATGCTCTCTTGTGGGTTAATTTTGGCGAAGGCAGATAGTCTTTCACTAGAAGGGGGAAAAAGCAGCACCAAATGAGCCCATCTGCCTTGAGCCCAGATATTTCACTGAGCAACATTGTCTTCTACCACCTGCCAATGCTGAAGGTATCAGTGAAACTGCTCCAAATCCCATCCTCACAACCCCAGCTGTGGCTTCTCCTGATCATATAATGTAATTATAAATAAATACTGAGACTAGGGCATGAGCACATTGCTATACAAGCTATAGCTGTCTCACCAAGAGTAGCAATATGATCTCACTGAAGGATCAAGGGAGGAGAATAAAACCTTCCTTTGAAATAAATCTGAAAGTTAGTAATAGAGGCAAGAAACTATCTGAAAAGATCTTAGCGGTATGTGGATTTGTGCGGAAGCATGGCTTAAAATTTTACATGGGGAAGGACTGCTCCTCTAAGATTCACTACAATGACTATGCTAACATACTGCTTTGTGAAGAACGGTCAATTTAGTTGCGGACATTATGGCGGATGGGAAAATGTGACTTAAGTTTTCCCTGCATTCATTCCCATTTCCAGGTCATATAGTGCCTGAAGGCACACAACAGCTTTTTGCAATTAGTTGTAGAGTTCAATCTGCAAAATTGCTTGACATTAAATGGTGCACATCAGATTAGACCTTTCCAAGCTATGTGGTTTGGTTTTTCCCCCACGGATGCATATACAGTAACTCCTCGCTTAACGTTGTAGTTATGTTCCTGAAAAATGTGACTTTAAGCGAAACGATATTAAGCGAATCCAATTTCCCCATAAGAATTAATGTAAATGGGGGGAGGAGGGGGTTAGGTTCCAGGGGAATTTTTTTAACCAGACAAAAAACTATATATTATATAGATAAACACACAGTATACGTTTTAAACAAACAATTTAATACTGTTCACAGTTATGATGATTGTGAAGCTTGGTTGAGGTGGTGAAATTAGAGGGTGGAAGAGGGAGGGATATTTCCCAGGGAATGCCTTACTGCTAAATGATGAGCTAGCACTCGGCCGAGCCCTCAAGGCTTAACACATTGTTGTTAATGGTAGCCTCTCATCAAGGCAGCAGGAACCGGAGGGAGGGGAGACAGCACAGCAGACAGAGACAGACACACACCTTGTGTGTGGGAGAGAGAGAGAGATGCACACTGCCCCTTTAAGTAAGCTGACCCACTCTTAAGTGCATTGTCTTTTTAAGTGGATAAGGAAGTTGAGACAGCAGCTGCTGCCCTAAGTTCTCTCTGTCTCTCTCCGTCCGTGTCCCCTCCCTGCTCTATATGGAGAAGGGGTAAGCGGGGTGTAGGAGCAGGGGGGAGGGGGACACCCTGACATTAGCGCCCCCCCGCCCCCGCCTCCCTGCACAGCAAGCAGGAGTCTCTGGGAGCAGCTCCAAGGCAGAGGGCAGGAGCAGTACATGGCAGTGGGGGAAGGGACAGCTGAACTGCCGATGGATAGCCTGTTGGGCGGCTGCAGCACAGGGAACTTAGGGGAGTGGGGAGCTGATAGGGGGAGCTGCCGGTCCACCCTGGTTACAGGCCCCCACCAGCTAGCTGCAACCGGCTGCTCTTCCTGCAAGCAGTGGACAAAGCAGAAATGTTACAAGGGAGCATTGCACAACTTTAAACGAGCATGTTCCCTAATTGATCAGCAACGTAACAATGTTAACCGGGACGACTTTAAGTGAGGAATTACTGTAATTGTGCGAGGGCATCAGGTAGCAGCAGTTATGTGCATTCTCACTCCAGCACCACCCAGGGCATTGAACTTAAGGGAGCATGCAGCATTGTGTGGCTAAGAAGCTGTTTTTTAATGCAGTAATACTAGGGCTGTGGATTAATCACGGTTAACTCCTGCGATTAACTCAAAAAACTTAACTGCAATTAAAAAAAAATAATTGCGACTAACTGCAGTTTTAATCGCACTGTTAAACAATAGAATACCAATTGAAATTTATTACATATTTTGGATGCTTTTCTACGTTTTCATATATATTGTATTCGGTGTTGTAATTGAAATTAAAGTGTATATTATTTTTGAAAATAAATATTTACACTGTAAAAATGATAAACAAAAAAAATAGTATTTTTCAATTCACCTCATACAAGTACTATAGTGCAACTGAAAGTGCAACTTACAAATGTAGATTTTTTTTGTTACAGAACTGCACTCAAAAAACAAAACAATGTAAAACTTCAGTGCCTACAAGTCCACTCAGTCCTACTTCTTGTTCAGCCAATCACTAAGACAAACAAGTCTGTTTACATTTACAGGCGGTAATGCTGCCCTTTTCTTATTTACAATGTCACCAGAAAGTGAGAACAGGCATGTAAATATCTTGTGACGCCCGCTACAACAGTGCCATGAGAGCGCATGTTCTCACTTTCAGGTGACATTGTAAACAAGAAGCAGGCAGCATTATCTCCTACAAATGTAAACAAACTTGTTTGTCTGAGCAACTGGCTGAACAAGAAGTAGGACTGAGTGGACTTGCAGGCTCTAAAATTTTACATCATTTTATTTTTGAATGCAGGTTTTTTTGTTCATAATTCTACATTTGTAAGTTCAACTTTCACGATAAAGAGATTGCACTTCAGTAATGGTACGAGGTTAATTGAAAAATACTATTTCTTTTGTTTTTTTAAAGTGCAAATACTTGTAATCAAAAAAAAATATAAAGTGAGCACTGTACACTTTGTATTCTGTGTTGTAATTGAAATCAATATATTTGAAAACGTGGAAAACATCCAAAAATACTTAAATAAATGGTATTCTATTATTGTTTAGCAGCGCTTTTAATCACAATTAATTAATTTTTTTTTAATTGCTTGACAGCCCTAATTAATAGTGATCGTTACCAAGGACCCACCTCTCGAGCTAGTAAGGGAATTTCTGAATGTACTGTCTCAGGACAATCACATTGTTTGTGGACTAATTACTGGTTTTTCTCAGCAAACAATAGAAGTTAATGCACCGTGATGGCATCCCTGTTCTGTGCATTGCCTTCTGAGTGCCGAGACTGACACAACTCAGATTGCTTTAGTCACTGGAGTCCAGCCACTTTCTGTTCAGACACTTTTCATCCAAGCCTGAAAAGTTCCCTGAGACAGGAGAGGCAGCAGGGAAGCTCAGTAAGTTAATGCTCCATTCTGCTTGACCACTGTGTGTTCCCAGCAGTGAGCCTTGAAGACACCGGATGCTTGGAACCTGCTTTCGAGAGGTAGAACAGAATTCTCTGTCTGTGCTGTATGATGATCATCACATTGGAGATTTTTAAGAGCAGGTGAGAATCACCTATGAGGAACGGTCTAGGTAATACTTAGTCCTGCCCTGAGTGCAGGGGACTGGACTAGATGACCTCTCGAGGTCCCTTCCAGTCCTACAATTCTATGAACAGAAAAAATGGATCCACAGTGAATCTTTAACGTATGGATGGGCAGAGCTTTGGGGGACAGCATAGAACGCAGCTCCTGGCATCCATATGTTAGGACCCACCATTTCTCCCACCTCTGCCCCGAACGGATTAACAGAGAGGGCCATTTTCTCTTTCAAATGGCATTCACTAGACCCCAAGGAGAGAGTTCAACACCCGCTGAAGGATGCTGCTCTTCCAGCTGAGGCTTAGGGACTACACTCTTTCAGAACCATTTTCCTGAGCTGAAGATAGCTTGGTCTTTAGCTGCACTCTGAGCCCTGGAGAGGACACCTCCCCCAGGGTTGGCAGGGCACCATGGGGGAATTTTGCCTTGCTACGGACTGTGCTGTACCAGTTCTGTGCATAAACAGAGGGTTTCAATCTCCAGATCTGTCAACCTGGCATTAGAATAGCTCCACCCACCATTCATTACTGGGGGAGTATCTCTGGCACCTTCATGCCAGCGCCCCAGCCACTCCAGTTTATAGTGGGCCTCACAGAAGAAGGTAACTTATAAAGGACACTTCCTTCTGGTGAGCAATCAGTTAATGCACCCAAAGTACCCTAGGCAGCCCCTTATTTAGTGATTAAAATCAATATCCTCTTACCAGAGTGCTCTGTGGACAGACTGCTGTGTCTGCTCGGGGATTTGGTTACCTCGGGAACGTTGATGGTTATGCCAAAGTTGTTAGCCAGGCTACCGCTGGCTGAGGAGGTGGTGCTGTCGGAGCCCAGCGAGGTGTTGGACTGGGTCAGGGAGGACTTGCGAAGCTTGTTCTTGAAGAAACCGCCCTTGCCCTTGGATTTCTTGCGCCCTAGCTCGTAGTCCTCCTCCATGTCGAGGGCCCCTGTGCTGCTGGGGATGATAGCAGAGGCAGATTCCAAGTCGTATTTCTTCTTCCCCTTCATTTTGTCCTTCAGCTTGCCGAAGGGCGACCGGGGCTTGTCCTTCATGGAAAGGTCGAACATGCTGGCCGTCAGGTTGTTGCGGGTAAACTGGATGGTGACCTGGATCTCTCCTCGCTCCTTCTCCTTTTTCCCGGCCTTGGAATGTAGCTTGTGCCACCTGGAGTTGGAGAGAAGAGGGGAGAAGAGCCTGTTATTTCCAAGAACAATGACTGACCCAGAAAGTGCTCAGAGGGAAAGGCCTAAGGCAAGAGAGAGAAGGAAAACAGAACCGACCAGGTCTGTGCGACGGCTCAGGGAATTAGCTGACATACTGCACTGGGTAGAGCACCAATGCAGACAGGCTGCTCTTCAAATTATTCCATTTGCTGCTTCTTGAGTTCCCACTCAGCTGTGACCCCTTCTCATAAGCCAGGGAGCCCTGGTGCATGGAGATTTAGCTGCCATCGGTTTTGTTACATCCCTCAGAGCAGCCACTGGGGGTTCTCCTTGGAGCGGGTGTGGTCCAAGCTCACTCCTAGGACACAACCTGCACTTCCACAGCGCCTGTGTCCAAGGAACTTGGGGCACTCAACAAGCTAGTGAATTAACTCTCTCCACCCTCCTCACAAGGTGAGGCAAGTTTTATGATCCCCATTCCAAAAATGGAGACGCAGAGCCCCAGAGAGGAAAAGTGACTTCCCCAAGGTCACACGGCAACTCGCTGGCAGAGATGAGAACAGAACAGAACACAGATCTCCTGACCCCCCCAGTCCTGGGCCTTCTCTCCACAAAGGACTGAAGTCCCATCCCACAGCCAGAGGGTGGATCCCCGTTGAAACAGCTTAGGTGGTCTGGTGAGAGGAAGCCAAGCTCTCTGGACAACTGGCTTGTGGTATCTCCTTCCACCCATGCTCTGGCTCCCTCCTCCTGCTTTAGGTATCTCCTCCCCCACACTTCCCAGCTGCTGCTACCCTACCCAGTATCGACTTCTCCACCACTCCAGGCTAATAAAGTGAAAGGCCTAATTTTTAAGGACCATGTTTTACTGCAAAGTGCCTAGGATTCTCTTCAGGCCTACATGCTGTATGAACATAGGGTGCTGTTAGCCTACGCCTGCTTTGCTCGCTGTCTGGCTAGCTAAGTGTTCTAATGGACCACCGACATTATGTATGAAGGTCCGAAGTTCCTTGTTGATATGGAGATCTCCGAGGCCAGGCTCCCAGACCACGCACAGACAGGACACATGACAGCTTTGATCTGATAAGGGCAGCAGGCCAGAGCCCAGTAGGTACAAGCGCAGCAAGGACTTCCTCCAGACGCTAATGGAGGCTAACCGTGGACAAGGGGCTCTACATAGGATGTTGTGGGATTCCACATAAGACTCAGTTATGCTACATAAGGCTGATAGACAAGAAACTCGCTGGCAGGCCTCCCACCTCAACCAGGGCTCGGTCACCACCAGGGACAAAGATGCTGCAAACAGAACGTAACAAGCTTTCTGACAATGTCTGAGCCAGCACAGAATCTGTCTCTCCCCACTATGGGACAGTGTGTCCCCCAGGGCTCGTGTGGGGTCAGTGGGTTGATGAGATTCATATACGCACACAACTCAAGGCATGAAGGTGCCATTTGTAAACAGACCTATTACCGACGCATACCATATTTTAAGGCATATACTTACATTCAGTTCTCACCCTATTTCCACTAAGTAACTTGTTCACATTAAGACAAATTACCCTCCATAGTAATACTACATGTGCACGTTTTAAAAATGACTAGTCTATTAACATAGAATAGAATCATAGAATATCAGGGTTGGAAGAGACCTTAGGAGGTCATCTAGTCCAATCCCCTGCTCAAAGCAGGACCAATTCCCAACTAAATCATCCCAGCCAGGGCTTTGTCAAGCCTGACTTTAAAAACCTCTAAGGAAGGAGATTCCACCACCTCCCTAGGTAACCCATTTCAGTGCTTCACCACCCTCCTAGTGAAATAGTGTTTCCTAATATCCAACCTAGACCTCCCCCACTGCAACTTGAGACCATTGCTTCTTGTTCTGTCATCTGCCACCACTGAGAACAGCTGAGCTCCATCCTCTTTGGAACCCCTCTTCAGGTAGTTGAAGGCTGCTATCAAATCCCCCCTCACTCTTCTGCAGACTAAATAACCCCAGTTCCCTCAGCCTCTCCTCATACGTCATGTGTTCCAGCCCCCTGATCATTTTTGTTGCCCTCCGCTGGACTCTCTCCAATTTTCCGCATCCTTTCTGTAGTGGGAGGGCCAAAACTGGACACAATACTCCAGGAGTGGCCTCATCAGTGCCAAATAGAGGGGAATAATCACTTCCCTCAATCTGCTGGCAATGCTCCTACTAATACAGCCCAGTTTGCCATTGGCCTTCTTGGCAACAAGGGCACACTGCTGACTCATATCCAGCTTCTCATCCACTGTAATCCCCAGGTCCTTTTCTGCAGAACTGCTGCTTAGCCAGTCAGTCCCCAGCCTGTAGCAGTGCATGGGATTCTTCCTTCCTAAGTGCAGGACTCTGCACTTGTCCTTGTTGAACCTCATCAGATTTCTTTTGGCCCAATTTGTCTAGGTCACTCTGGACCCTATCCCTACCCTCCAGCGTATCTACCTCTCCTCCAGCTTAGTGTCATCCGCGAACTTGCTGAGGGTGCAATCCATCCCATCAAACAGACACAAGGTGGATGAGGTAATATCTTTTATTGGACCAACTTCTATTGGTGAGAGAGAACAGAAAATAAAAGATATTACCTCACCCAGCTTGTGTCTCTAATATCCTGGGACCAACATGGTTACAACTACAATGCAGAGTCAATTAATACCTTCTAAAAGAAGATTGTGGTTAAAAGGAGAAGAGCTTGGAAATTCAAAATTAAGGCTCGACTTGAAGAGCAGATGCCCCCCCCTGCCCAAACTGTAACTGACTAGCTCCGCCAACCCGCCTGCTCTGTGCCTGAATTTGATTTTGCCATAAGGAGTGTCTATTAGACAGGAAGGGGGTAGAAGAGCACGAGAGAAGAAAACCATTGCGGTCTGGGAGAGGCAGGATAGCTGAGTGGTCCAAGCACACATCTGGAAGCCAAGAGTTTTTTTATTCCAATCCTGGCTCCACAGCACACACCCCGCCCCCTTGGGAGAGGACAAGGGAACAAACAGGTGACAGATGTGAAGTGCACGTACCACACTGTGCACGTACCGACGGTGCTCGGATACTACATACAAGGGGGATGTTATTCCTAGTCTCCTGGGGAAATTCTCTTACGGTATCTATTAGGCTGCAAGTTCCTTGGGGCAGGGACCGGCCTGTGTGTGTTTGCACAGCATCTAGTTCAACAGAACCCAGACCTAAACTGCAGGGCAACAATAACGGACCGCTACTGCCCCAGCCACGGTCTTCATTTCCCATCCTGAACTGCTGTGGAGGGTTTCTGGGCGGCGCCACAGATGGCTGAATTTCAACAGTATTTGAAATGATTCCTATGCAGTTTGTAAACTTTCTGGGATCCCTGGGGATGAAAGATGCCATGGCGCCCTTAAGGCCACTACCCCGATATCGCCTTCAAATCCCTCCCCAATACCCCACGTCAGCCACGGCGCCTGCAAGAAGTCAGCCAGCCCGCCAATGACAGTGGGGTAATGGGAGAAGCTGGTGTTTCTAGAGTTAAACCCTCAGAACTCAGAGCCATCGGGCTGCCAGCCTGAGCGTATTACCCTCCCCCTCCCTGCTGGTCCTCCGTCGTGTCTGGTTTCAAAATCAGATGAGAATGTCGTTTGGGCAGGCCCTTGTCTTTGTGTGTCTGTACAGCACCCAGCACCATGCGGCCGTGACCCTAACCGGGGCATCTGAGTGCTACCATAATACAAAGTAATTAATAGAAACTTATAGGGTGACCAGATGTCCCGATTTATAGGGATAGTCCTGATTTTTGGGTCTCTCTCTTATATAGGCTCCTATTATCCTCCACCCCCTGTCCCGATTTTTCACACTTGCTGTCTGGTCACCCTAGAAACTTGGCATCTCTGTCAAGTGACTGGCTAGTTGCAGAGCCCACATGGAACATTTCCCAGGTCACAAAGCCAACACGGCACTGTCTGCACTGGGACAGCCGCAGAGCACCTGGCCCCGCAGGGCTGCCTTTTCACACCAGGGAGAGGGGGGATGCTCCTTCAGTCCAGCCCACCTTTGGCCTGGACACCCTGAGCACTGCCAACTCTCGCTGATTTCAATGGGAGCAGCTCAGGACCAGGCCTCGGCATCTGCCCTCGGCATCCAAACAAGGATACCTACAGACTTGTGGTCGGTGCCTTACTGGATGGAGGCCGCCAAGAACAGCAGCTCTGCAATGCTGCTTAGGAAAACTATCCCAATGCTGTGAACACACCTACTTCCCTCCCAGAAGTCCTGCAGCTGAAGTGTCTCCACACCAGCTCCCATGCAGGGTGTATGCTGCATAATTTCCTCCGAGGGCACTACAGGAGCATAAGACAAGAAAACACCACCCTGTGTGCTCAGATACATTGCTTTGTTCTAGCCACAGCACCTCCTGTTGGTCAGATTACAGGGAAGGTACTAGCCCAGTGTTACATACAGACATGCAGCATCCACAACGAATGTATCCAAAAGCACATCCTGTACATCAAATAAGATCCCACACTGTGCAATAAATCACAGGCACCAACCCCTCCCCGCACCACAGTGCCCCATCAATTTGAGTTTCACAACTAGGTACACACATCTCTGGGGGTTCAGCTTTCCTGTTAAAACAGGACAATAAGCAGCCATTTATTGCTATTTTTATACAAACAAAAAACTGGTAAGTCTTTCAAACCTAAAATACAAGCAGGGCCCCCCTGCGCCGTTCCTGCGGGGTGTATACCACACAGTGCCATCAGCAAGTGACGGGACAGCCTGTGACGTCAGGGTTAGAACAACTCAGGTCCCAGCATCTGCAAACCCTCTAAAGGAGGCTGCCAGTGAAATGTATGCAATAGGACATGAGCCGTTAATGTGAATGTAAAGCTTTACTACAACTGCTCAGAGTAGAGATCATAGTATCTGGTCTGTGTTTTGCTTAAGGCTGGGTGAGGTTACTCAACGCAGTATGAAAAACAGAGTGAAGGCTTCTCTCTGCACTGCTTCTGATCACAGAA